GGGGGGGGGGAGGAGGTGCTCGGGGCTCTTTCCTTGCCTTAGTCTGCCATCGTTGCACCACTGCTCGTAGGAAAGCAGCTCCAAGAGGAATCCAATGGAGCAGGCGGGGAACTTGGTTGCGAAACTTTTATGGCATGGGACCAAGGGGGGGGGGCGGGGTTTGGGTTTGTAGGGAACGCACCTGGGAATCAAACGTTATGCACAAGAGGTAGGAGTCTTCTGACAGCGAGGGGGGAGATCCTGCTCCTTTCGCTGTTGTTCCCGTACCCCTTGGCCTTGAAAACTCTTACGGAAAAAAATGGTAGTCACCTGGTAGATGCTCAGGGCGCGAGGCTGGAGCTTCGCATGCCTCGCCGATCTTTGCGCATAGCTGTTGTATTCGTCACATTCCACCCAAAACTGTTTCAGCAAAAAAAAAAACGACAAAAGAGGGATGCAGGGAAAACGGTCGTTTTACTTGTGGTGGCGTTGGTGTTGCGTTTATTGCGTGTTGCTGCTGCTGCAGTTGCCAATGCTGCCACAGCTTCCGCTGCTGCCGTTACCAATGTGCTTTCTTTCTCCACTCGACATGCACCTCTCGTTGAACGCCTGCCCCGAAAGAAACACTGAGAAACCTTTCCTTTACCTTCAGCGAACTCCTTTACCTTAAGCAAACTCCCCGCGTTGTGACGCTCAAGCCAATTCTCAAAGAGTTGGTGAAGACGCGGGCCTCTCAGAACTGACAGCATGCTCAGCTCACCTCGAACCTACGATAGGGTTTGGGTTCCAGGCGAAAAGGCAGTTCAGAAATCAGGGTTAGGATTTACTGAAGGTGCTTCGTTTCTCACGGTTCCTTCTCAGGGGTACGCAGGAGGCTCGTCGGTACATTGCCGCGCACGTCTGATGACCGCCAGGTACCCGTGAATCGTGTGCTCGACGCCCGAAGTCCCCGCCACTGGCACTATTTTGCGGGGCGGTAGGCGAATCAACAAATGCTTTGAAGTGGTACAAAACAATTACGTAGGCATGAACAGGGACGTTTTTGACGTACTGTACGGCGCCACGCGCAAACCCTCACGCCATGAGCGACAATGCAGGAACGTTGCGAGAGAGAAAGAGAGAGCAAAAGAGCGGGATAGAGCAATAGGGTGCGCGGCACGCCCATGCGCATTACCGCGCACACGAAGACATACATGCTGAGAAAAGAAACGCATGTACCCTCACAAGCGAAATTTTGTACGAAAACCGGCACTCAAGCACTGCTGGACGTTGATCATGTCCCCTTGTGTCGTTTCCACGGAGCTAGTCATTAACCTCCCGATGGGGAGCCTTGTTTTTGACGATGTGGAGGCGGTGAAAGCCTCCCACACAGGAGGTTGGCCGTGTTATCCTATGTGGCCGGTTTTGGCGCTCCGTATGTGAAGAAATCGAGCCTGGGCGTGCCCCAAAACGTGGAAATATGTCATGCGAATCCTGGTGCTCGTCATGACGCTTGGCCGCATAGCTGCATCACTGCAAACATCGGTATGCCTTCGAAACCGGGCTAAGAAGTCAGCATTGCAACCATTGTGTTTCACCTGCCATGTAGCCGGGGGGATGCGGTGGGTTGGTGGGGGTGGTAGCTACACAATGAGAATAGATAGGGCTTGTAGCAAGACGATTCTCCGTTTGTTGATTCGTTTGCCCTTGACCGGGAAGCTGCATGCGAGATCGTTGGAGTAGGCCAAAGACAGATTTGCTAGGTAGATTGGACGCCCGAGACAAGCATTACAGTAGTCAATACAAGACAAACATTGAATGGACGCATGACTCACCCGGTCGCAGACAGTCTTGTCATCCTCTGGGAAATGAACTTCATACCCACGTATCACAGCCGAAAGCGGGTCAATGTTGCTCGTGGGGTAACCCCCCTTGCCACCCCCCTTGAGATTGACGGCACAAAACCCAAACAGCAGGGAGGAACATATCTTAGAATTGCCCGCGTCTGGTTCCCGCGACAACAGCTGTTGTTTTGACTCAAACAACATGTGGTGGGGCGAGGGGGTGTTTCGTTGTGCACACGAATGGATCCAGAGAATCTTTATGCGCATCGGCGACACGTCTCGCTTGGCCAGGTGTGTTGAGCTGAAAGTAAACGAGATCGGTGCGGTTGTTTGGACACAGTCCACAAACCGGGGCTGAAGCCAAGCACTACCGTCCGGCCCGGCGTGAAATACATGTGAAGTTGCAGCTATCAACGTCATGTGGAGACTTGTTCGTCTGAACTCACTGGTGGCCAGAGGGGCAGATTGGGCGCCCATCGCAGCCAACCTGTGAACGATGGGGGAGGTTGGGTGCCTGGGGTTGACCTTGAACACGTATTTTCTTGTCTGTGCTGCAAGCGCGCCATGCTGTAGTTGGATAAACGTCACTTCTATCTGAGATACGGAATCACCTGCACACATCGACGTGCATTCTCCCCGCCGCAGGTTGCAATCGGTGCCTAAAGCTACCGGCAACCTGACCTCTGGCCAATCGGTGTCCCCGCCATGTACAGCGCGGGATCATGGTGGCCAGGCTCTCTGTGCTAGGAGGTCGTTTTCGACCAATTTCTTAGGTTTCCTGGATACCGTCCCTTACCCTAACCCTAACCCTAACCCTAACCCTAACCCTAACCCTAAGCTCCTAATAAAAGGTAAGGTGGAAGATAGTGTAAATCTGAATGATGATATCACTGCCCAAAGACCTCACCGGAACAAGTTGGCTGCCGCCGAAAAATTGAACGCAATCGACCAAACATGATAGAAACTTTAGGGAGCTTGCTTGCTTTCTGATGGATTTAGTTGGCACACGAAGAAGAAAGCCTCAACTCTCAGCGAGACCGTAGTCGATCACCGCCCGCAGACAGAAACCGAGTGGTGATGTACCATATCAATGTCTATTTTTTACGTGAGAACCGCAAAAAGAATCCGCCGGCGGTGGAAGTACTTGTGGTTGTCAACTTGACGTTCTCCAACACAGTCTTGTCCAATGGCCGGCTCGATTCTTACGAGGTGACGTCATCCGGTAGTGCTGTGCGTAGAGCAGGTGAGAAATCGGATATGGAAGCTTACTTCACGGTGCTCTAACTCGGCCCGCCCTTGGATTCTCGAGCTCGCGACAGAGGCGTTGTGATCGGAAGATTGGCGCGCTCAGGTCGACGGAGACAGTCGAAAAAGCCATTTCAAACCGATGCACCGCACCACAAGGAAGGTCTATCTGCAAAAATGGTTGCGTCTGTTTTAATTGCTGTAAACCGGCTCGCCTTCGGAGTTTCGAGCCCGCTTTAAGGACGCTCGCGTTAAGGAAACTCCCCGCTTTAGGAAGGAAACCTTTTTTTCTGAGCACCAGGGGGCCATGCAGAATGTACGATAATGGGGTACCCCCCTGTTGTCTGCCGCGTACCCCCTTTTGTGTCCTGCGGGCCGCTCTTTGCACCCACCACGCACTACATTGAGTGCAGAAGTAGCGACGCACAGACAGCAGAAGTAGCGAGCGGTCTGCTATTGCAGCTGTAACTGGGTGTTGGTATGGATAGATTCCTCCCATCTACCGGCGGTCCATCTGATGCCGCCAAAAAAAGAGTCGTGCATAACCTCGTCCCTCACCGAGGGCGAGGTTATCTCTCGCTTGGAGAACGTTCGATCCTATTTGTACGCGAAGGGAAGGGGTGGAGAGTACCGTGAGACGCAGTACCTTCTTTCCAAGACCGTTTATTCGTTTTCTCATGAAACTCAACAGAGCCGTAGAGCCAAGCCGCGGGGGNATTGCAGCTGTAACTGGGTGTTGGTATGGATAGATTCCTCCCATCTACCGGCGGTCCATCTGATGCCGCCAAAAAAAGAGTCGTGCATAACCTCGTCCCTCACCGAGGGCGAGGTTATCTCTCGCTTGGAGAACGTTCGATCCTATTTGTACGCGAAGGGAAGGGGTGGAGAGTACCGTGAGACGCAGTACCTTCTTTCCAAGACCGTTTATTCGTTTTCTCATGAAACTCAACAGAGCCGTAGAGCCAAGCCGCGGGGGGAGGTTCAGGGAACTCTTCGCGTTATGTGGAGGGAAAAGCCGTCAGGGTAGCTTTGGCCTCCGCCGGGACAGTTATATGTACTGGTGTTCCTCGGTACGACGCTGAAATACGCTCGTTTTTTTCAAGATTCACAAAAATGATATGAATATACCGTAAACGTCGGAGTTTTCCCCCCGAGGAGGGGGGGAGGGGGGGGGGGGGGGGG